ATGTTCAATAAAATTTACTCCACCATTACCTGATTGGAAACAAAATGCAATTGATAAAATGGGTTTTGGATTGTTGAATAAGATTTTTATTCAATTTCCATTGACATTTTGGGATGAAAAATTGGATAGTATTTTTATTGCTTCCAATCGTTTTTGTCTTTTTCATTGTCAACCACTTGATCATATGCTTATTTTATTTGTTTGTGGTAATTTAGCACGTGAATTAGAACAACAAACTGATGAAGAAATTATTGAACAAGTTCTTCAACGTCTTAAACGAATTTATCCACAAATACCAAAACCAATAAAATGGTTAGTAACTCGATGGGGATGTGATCCATTTGCATACGGATCATATTCAAATTTTAAGACTGGTGCAACATATGAAACTTTAAAAGAATTAGCAAGAGAATGTTATGATGATCGAATATATTGGGCAGGTGAACATACGAATTATGATGGAACTATTGGATGTGTTGATAGTGCTTTTGAAAGTGGTCATCGTGAAGCTAAACGTATTTATGATAAATTAAATAAAATTTCCAGCTAATTATTATAAATAAACTTTTTGTTAAGTTTTATTATTATTCTCTTTTTATTTGTAGTTTTGTTAAACATGATCTAAAATGAGTATTGAAGTATATAGAGTAGAAATTTACAGTAATCTGAACTTTGGTTGAAAGTCGAAATGTCAAAAAAAAAAGAAATGACACAAATATTGGCAGAGACTTCAGCATTTGTTTTTATTGAGCAGTTTAACACATTCGACCCGACGTCGCCCACCGGTGGGCGACGCTATAATTTAACGAAAAATCGTATAGAAAAGCACTTTCTTTTGCTTTTTTTTAAGCAGGAGATTAGACGTAAGCTGTCATATCTTCTGTCTTCAGTACTTTGTTTGAATTCTTTATTCGATAGCATAATGCTTATCATTAAAACACTCGAGACAAAAAAATTTATCACAGTCAGAACAGAATGTTTTGACTTTCTTTGCTGCTGCATTGCTCGCTTGTCTTGACTGTTCTGCCCTTTCCTTCGCATAGCAGCCAGTACACCGTCTACCAACATTGCGCGTAGATCCTTCCTTTTCTTCGAGCTTGTGATCAGCGAATTTGCGTTTCGAATACCTTGCTGGTTGTTGCCTGGAGCCATGTTTCAGCTTCTCGATCGGCGTGCCAAGCAGTAAAGATTGGACAAGATTTTCACGAAATTGCAAGATGGTCACTTTGCTTTCGATGTAGTTCTCCTTGTATATCAAATAGCTATTTACTAGTGCCGTCCCAAAAACTAATTCAAATGCTACCTTTCGGTACCATTTTACTGATTTCCTGAGAGACGTGTAATATGTTGATAACTGGTCAGATAAATCAGTGCCTTGTCTTCCTTTATTATAATCTAATACGACTTGGGGCTTCATGATCGACTCATTTTGAAAATTTAATTTTCCACTATCTACTACACTTGCTGAATGTGACGGTCTTGTAGATATCATCAAGACATCGTTCTTGTCTCGCCACCTAATTAATTTAATTCCATCTTTGTTCTGAAGTCCACAAACTTCTCCACGACTAAGATTTTCTTCAAGAATTCTACCTCCTGATCCAACACGATTCGTTCGTAATGTTCCAATGAGATATGTATCATGTTCCAACAAACATTCCGCCAGGGAAATACTGGTAAAGAAATTATCAGCTACGACGGTTCGATAACATCCATCAAGACCATCTAATAGTTTCATTACTACTGTTTGAGCATGTCCGACACCTGCCGTTGAATCTTGCTCACCGGTATAAATTACATAATTCCAAACATAACCATTGGTCGCTGCTAATTTGTACATCTTTACACCGTACTTGTGTGCTTTTCCAGGTATGTATTGTTTGAATAAAAGTCGGCCACGCCATGGTATCATACTTTCATCTATACTGATAATTGAGCCAGGCATATATACTGATGAAAATCTTTCTTTTAGTAAATCTAAGAGTGGCTTCAACTTGAACAGTCTATCTTGGTTCGAATTCTTGTCATTGTTATTCGAAAAATGCCAAAATTTTAGGAGTGATTCAAATCTTTCTCTTGACATGGTATTTTGAATGATCTTTGATCCATATAATGGACTAGAGCTCCAATAATACTTCAGCTTCGGCATTTGTACTAATCCCATTTCAATAATTATTCCAAAGAATTTGAACATCTCTGTATTAGTGGTTGGTTTCCATCGTTGAAACATTGATCGTCTACTGATCACATGACTTTGCAAGTATTGCTGTGCGTATCGATTAGTTTCACGAACCATAAGGTCAATAATTTCGTCCGTAATGAAATGTCGATAGCAGTCGATAGGATTAATTGTGTTATCTTCTGAAGTAGAAGTTACATCCCCGATAAGCCCATGATCTTCCAAGAATTCTGCATCAGATTCTGGTTCTATTTCATTCCAGGCATATAAATTCATATTATCGTTATTGTCTTCGTCAGTAATTTCTTCGTCAGAATTGTCAAAATCAAGGTGCGTTGTATCAAACTCATCATTCAGTGAACTCACTTCACTGAATGAACTAGCACTACTTTCTGTATCGATTTCTTCGAACGACATGTGAAGTGCTCCAAAAATTCGGTTGTATTTATATGCAAAACGATACAGATAAGAGAATAAGGGAGAAAATACTGGAAATTTCTTTCTTTTTCTCACACATGCTTCGTACAATATACAAAAGAACGAAAAACTAACTTAAGCCATTAGTCACTTGGTCAGTAAAAAATGACTCATTGTTTAGTAGTATAAACAAGAGAACGACAAATAACCAGTAGAATATAGCCAAAAGGTCATTAAGTGCATTTATTAGAAGATAATTGTTCACGAAAATGAACAATCTGAAAAAAATTTTACAAAAACTGAGTCGGGTCGAATGTGTTAAATTGAATCAAATTTATTTATTAGAAAAAGAACGAATAAAAGGCAAGTAAAAAAGTTCTCGATAAATCAGGATGTAGCTATGAGTGTAACTCTTCTCTTAACCTACACCCTTTATCATGTTTTACATTTTAATCCCGAAGAGATTGTGCTACCGGCTTCTATGAATAATTGTGGAATAGAATCCCTTTCTATTTCTTTATAATATCTGCATTGTTGGGTAAAAAACCTGTTCATTATTGCAGTTAAAGTATCAAAGTGATGAAATAAATTCATGTGAACAATTGACATAGTTAATGGTGATTAATAGGCTAATTACATAATGGTTCAAATAAGAAGAAAATGAAGTACTGATTCATCTCTCAAATCTTGCAGAGTTGTTTTGCAATATTTCATATTAATCTTACATACAGATTTTTCTAGGACAATGAGCATCATTAGAATCTTATTAAATCAATGAGACAAAGAAAGATATGGTAACTATAGGATAAATGTAATTATACAAAGTTTCAATTCACAGGGCTTATGACAAAGTCAGCTTTTTCAAACATTAATTTTTTTTGCAAAATTGTCTAGGAACTATAACCGTATTATGGGTTATTACTTGTATTCGCCCATTTCTCTTCCTTTCCAAATAAAATATGCAGATAAAAGACGTCACATAAATCAACACAAAGTCAAATTCTCACTAACATTTAATATCTAAACTTGCATATTTACTGCTTATGTAACGTCAGTCGATAAGGATAATATTACGAACCTTAAACAATAAATAACGATAAAGTAAAATGGTAAATATTAATATCAGAATAATTCTGAATTTATTTAAAAGATTCAAATTAAGAGTAAAACTATTAAAGAACTGCATCTCTCGAACACTTACGCTCGCACCCATCCACCACTGTCATCCACGCGCACATATCTTTACACTGGCACCGGCATCGACACCTACATCCACCCTATTCAAACTGATACTGATCTCTAACAAGCCGGACTGGATCCATCTCTATCACGCTTCGGGTCAAAATAGCATTAGGAATGGTGACTCTGGTTCTAATCTCTGATACATGTTCTAGATTTCAGTATGACTACTGACTTTGAATGAAAAAATACTTTCGTTTAACCTGCTTCATATTATCATCACAAAATATTATCTGATCGAATTTTATCAATATATAAATATATTGAACGGTATTTCGGGACATCTACTTCTGCTTAAATTACATTGGAGAAAATTTCTTCCTTTTCTTTTGTCACATATATCCAAAAGTTATAGGGTTATTAATGACAAGCGTACACAGTAAAAGGAAAATGTACAAACATTTGCAGCTTTGAAAATACACGCTTTGTCTTCGTAATTTCTTTTCTTTTCAGATTTGTATAAAGTCGTTTCCAATACTGATGTGATAGCTGCAGAAAAAAAATCAAAATTTGCAATATTCAACTTAGTTTTCTTCGAAGCATACTGGTTTTCATGATGATGAAGAGGACCATGACCGTTTTGATAGGTTTTCTGGTTATTTAGGATTTTGAAAAATAATAAATCAAGGTTCTTATGTTGATGTACTTTCCTAATGCTATACTTTTGTGTAGTGAATCGTCCTAAATGAATCACATACAGATTGCTTTTTCCTTGCTTTCTATTTACGTATCTATTATTATTTTCTATTTTTTACTGGGTAAAACACATATGAAGATGTTTTCTCCCATTGTTTATAATATGCGGCGTAAACATCATACATTTTGTACACTTTGCTTATGAAAACAAGTGTAAATGTATATTTTATTCATTTAAAACAGCGTGCACTGTACATTTTATTTTAGATTTCCATTAGAAACACTGATACCAATGATAAAAAATATCAACGGCATAAAACTTCAAGAACGAATTGACTAGCATATTTTTATATAACACCAAGATACAAAAAATAAAACACAGGATTCAAATCACGAAGATGAATTGTGCAAAAAAATTTCAAAGGGTAAGAGAAATCTTCAATGTTTTTAGTTCACTCCTAAGTTGCTAATCTTCTTTCTTATTGACAAGAACGGAAATACCAAAAGATTCGGAATCATGCTATTCATTAGGGTCACGATCTCTGACATGAACAGATATCATTCAAATTCCGTAGTCTAAAAAGGAATAGTATATTCTTAGTTATTGTTCAATAATGTCGAAGAACGATCAGACTCGAGAAAAAGTAGACAAATGCACTAGCTGCAATTCTAAATGAATGTCAAAAATAAAAATAAAAATAATGTAAAATAAAGCATGTTTATCGTTCTCTTTCACAACAGTGATCACTGATGCATAAATGAAAAACAGCAAACACTAAGATAGAAGAGTATGTATACAATACTTATTTTTTCGTATTTTACGAAATGAATGATCACTTTAATTAATGTATGAAGACAGAAGATGAATCAGACATCGACCATCTTTCTTTCATTAACGAGACATATCCTGATAATTAAATACGAAAACTTGCAGCCAGATAATTTTCTTCTTTCATTTCTACACGTAACGAATGTTACTTTTAGTTAATATATGGAAAGAGAAGAAAAAGGATGCATTTTCGTCAGCTCTCATATGTTAACGAGATACATGCAGGTAATCAGGTACAAGAACATGTTTACACATGATTTTCGTCTTTTATCTAATACGTAATCACTGTTTGTTGATATTTTCTAAACTATGAAGAGAGAATGAACGATACATGTGCAAACAGTCTTGAGAGTGAAAATTAGAAATTTGAGGATGTTTAAATTCCCTACAATTTTCTTTATATATAATAATGGTAATAATCATGAGTAAAAATAATATGTTAATCTTTTTCTTGTTTTTAAAATTATTTTTTGTATTTATGAGAAATAGTAAAATTATACGGCTAAACAAAAACAATTTAATAGGATAAAGTATAGCCAGTGCTTTTACAAATAATGTATTAAATCAAATTACAGAATCTGAATTTATAAATGAAAAAAATTCGAAGTGAATCATATAACATGTTTCAACAGTTAGATGTGCTGTTTGACTGTAAATATGAAATGATAAATTGTTTATGAAAATTACTGATTCATTTGAGCTTGTGATCATATATTGAGGGTGTGAGAGTGTTATTCTTATTTAATTCATACACTCAAACCGAAAGTCCCATCCACACAGTCAGTGATGTAAACCACGAACACTGCAGTTGTTTGTTTGGATGCATCATGTGAACCTATCAGATTTTTAAAATAATTTCTTATTCACATGTCTTCGTCAATCATTTGAAACTTTTAGCATATTATCCGGTACATGTATGAGAATAAAACTCATATTCGTGTTTGTCTATCATTTCGTTGCAAAATCGTGTTATTGGTAACACTGTTTATTTATCTTTGGTTTTCAATTCGTTGGTCACATAATCTTCCTAGTAGACCATTGTTTGAAAAAATATTGATTGACGATGATTGGGAATTTTCGTTTGACGAACTTACATGGATCATGGTAACGTTGCCTCATACACCTCGAGTTGAACCTATCGAGAAAGTTGAACAACAATGGCAAGGAACATGTTTCTATCGGAGAAAATTACCAATCGTTGACAATTCATACAGGATACTTCAATTCGATGCAGCTATGCATGAAGCCGATGTCTGGGTGGATGGCGTGCATGTAGTTCATCATCTTGGTGGTTATTTACCATTCGATGTAAATGTTTCGCATGGCAATAATATTACAGTTCGTCTGAGAAATACGGACAATCCGATCATTCCACCGGGAAAAACATTATCAGAATTAGATTTTAATTATTACGGTGGCCTCTATCGCCATGTGTGGCTTTTTAAGAAGTCCTATCAATTGCGTTTTGACCGAGACATTCGTGTTCAATATGAAAATGTCAATCGATCTCAAGCGACTGTGCGCATTCGATTTAATATCACACATGATCAGAATACATTGAAACGCTATCGTATTCGATATTTATTGAACGGAGACGAACTATTTCCTTCGAAAGTTATAGATCTAGCAAATCCATCGATGAATTCTGTTGCATACGATATAAAAATTATCGTTATTCATCCTCGTCTTTGGTCACCATGGAAACCGAATCTCTACACACTTTCACTTGGACTTCGAAGTAATATCGGAACGAAAGAGATCGTTTTCGATCAAGAAAACATCACCATCGGTATTCGCTCATTCGAATTTCGATCAAATAGTTCATTCTTGTTTTTGAACGGTGAAAAATTAGATTTTCTCGTGGGAACGAATCGCCATCAAGAGTATCCGTACGTTGGTTATGCTGTCCCTGATCGAGCACAGCGTCGGGATGCTTATAAAATCAAAGCGGCAGGTTTTCACTTAGTCCGTTGCTCTCATTATCCTCCTTCGATAGCTTTTCTCGATGCTTGTGACCGCTTAGGACTGCTTGTTATCAATTCAATACCTGGTTGGCAATTCTTTGGCAATAAGACTTTTCAAGCAAATGCTCTTGATGATGTGCGCCAGATGATGCGCCGTGATTCTAATCATCCATGCATTTTTCTTTGGGAAGCAAGTCTCAACGAGAGTCCGATGAGTCGAGAATTTATGGCTAGAGCTCATGCAATTGTCAAAGAAGAACTCTCTAATGGTTTGACTAGTGGATGGCTTGATGAAGAAAACATCTACGATGTATTCGCACCAGCTCGACAACATAGGGATAGGCCCTATTTTTATCGATTTTATCGAGCAAAAAATAACAAACCAATTTTTCTGGCCGAGTATGGTGATTGGGAATACTATGCATCGAAGAACCATAATTTTAATCAAACATTTCTTCCTCAGTTAGAACAATTCCAGAACACGTCAAGACAAAGACGATGCGATGGCGAAAGGGGTTTATTGCAACAGATATTCAATTTTCAAGAGGCTCATAATGATAATCGCCTTGCAAGTAAAACAGCTTGTATCATAGGCGATGCTAATTGGGTGATGTTTGATTATAAACGAGGTTATGCGCCTGATATTGAGGCATCTGGAATTATGGATATAAATCGATTACCCAAATTTGTTTTCTACTTCTATCAGTAAGTCGAAATAGGAATTTTTATCTATCAAACAGGGATCAATCTGTTTCTTTGTATACAGAAGTCAATGCATTAGCTGTGAGCCAATGGCTTTTATTGCTAGTTATTGGACAAATCGATCGAATACCTCTGTAATAGTCTACAGCAATTGCGAATATGTGGAGCTTCGATTGAACGGTGTGAAAATTATGGACAGTGACCGACAACAGCATCACTCATCGCACTTGTTGCGTCCGCCCTTCATATTTAATATTGGTCGTTACACACCCGGACGTTTGGATGCTACAGGTTTTATCAATGGCACGGCGGTTGTTCGAACATATCAATCAACTCCTGGAAATGTTCGTCATCATTTGAATATCAAAATAGATCTAAGTAAACAACCGTTGACAAAGAATGATCTTGTTTTTGTCTATGCTTATGTATGTGATGAAAATGATACCGTTATTCCGGATGCAAACGATTCAGTTACCTTTTCTCTTCAAGATGCTAGTGATTGCGCCTTGTTGATTGGTGACAATCCAGTGCGAGCCGAGGCAGGTATTGCTTCAATTCTTTTGAAAACAAAGAACAATAAATCCAGAGATGTCATGATGTTAATCGCTCGAGCACCAACAGTGAAGTATGAAGCGAGCGCTAATTTTTTCATTTCACCAGAACGATTTTATTAATAAATACCGATTCGAATAATTTTCCACTAGCGAATAT